GATACGTCGACCTGATTTTCTTAAAACTTTAGATCACCCAACTGGATTAGAACTTGACATTTATTACCCACAATATGAATTTGCAACCGAAGTACAAGGAGAACAACACGAAAAATATATAGAGTTCTTTCATAGAGGCGATCCCAATAATTTTATCAAACAGCAAGAGCGGGATCAACTTAAGAAAGAATTATGCGAAGAGAATCAGATTGCCCTAAGGTATGTTTGGTATTACGAAGACCCATATGTAGTTATTCCTGAGCATCTTCGAGAATTGGGCCTCATTGAATAAACTCAAAACTTTAAGTGCTTTATGATCATTACATACCCATTTTTTTCTGATACACACACCCCACACCACACCATAGACTATTTAAAAAATTATAAGCACGAAATTTTATTTAATTTCAATATGAATACATATACTGCGTCATTATTCAATTAAATCCAGACCACTTATTCGAATATTTTTGCTGATTAAATTTGGCTATAGAAATTCTCATTTTAACATTTATTCCGATCCTTATAATTGTGATATTTGGCCGAAAATATCATTTTTAAGAAATACGTAGGGTTGCCTACAGGGTTTGTAATGTGAAATATTGTTAAGAACATCGTAATCAATTATACCACATGTGACACCAGCTGGATTACTTTGCCATGAATGAATTTCGTTTGTCCTAACCTAACCAGACTAGTTGATCCCATCACCTAAGCAAATGTACTAATCTCTTGAAATCTGAAACATTTTTGCGCCAGCACCATATCCATCAGCTCTACTAGGATTTGGACTCCAACCATCTTGAGCACTATATAGTTTTCTTCTTATAAAGTATGGGATTACAGTCGTTGTTGCGCCTGTATCCATTATCATTCGGAAACCTTGCTCTACATTTGCCATTCCTGCTTCATCCCAGGCATTTACTGTATTTCGAAGACGAATATGCACCTATATTTGGCAAAAGAAATCCAAATGATATCGTTCTTATTAGGGCATTGACAGGTATAATATATCAAATAACACCTGTCAATGACCTTATAATCCATATATTATAAATCATACGAACTTGCCACTCTTTCTCTGCACCTGCATTTGTATTAGCATCAGATGCTGAAAATCTACGCAATTCAACAATACGTTCTTTAACAGGTACGTAATAACACCCTGGATAATCCTCCCTCATTTTTTTTTCTTCTTTACTTGATCCGTACCTAACAAATTTCCCATGAACGATTAATATATGTGTACTCTGCAATGGATCAAGAGTGTCAGATTCGAGTAAACGACGATATTCAAGTACATTTGTGGCGAGTTCCTCCCCGATTGGATCCCAATCTGGATCGATGACATAGTCAAAAATTAAGCGACGCTCATTAATGTCCGTCGGGGTTGAGGCCAAACGAAATCTGAGCTAGCGAAGATTAAACAAAGGATATGTTACTTTTAAATAAGTTGAATAGTGATAACTTCAAACCAATCAAGCTGGACCAGTCTTATTATGCATCATAAAATTTCTTCCATTCATCTTTATTTTTTGTGAATTTATTGAGTCCTAGTCTTACTGCAAAGTTTTCGATGTCACCTTCAACATTTGCTACCGGTTTTGAAGTGAATTCCGTACCAATAGACGCTCCGGATTTAGTTTCTGAAGCTGTGTTCTCTTGTTTTTCATCCTTGAGGTCATATGAGTCCTTCAAACTCAGGTTTTCAGCAAACTTTTTTTCGAGATCAGGCTCTTCAAACGTATACAAGAAATTAGAATATAATAAAAAGAGTATAAATAGCCATATACGAAAGTACGAACCAGAAACGGTATTACTAATTTCAGGTCGGTTGGTCGTCATTTCAATACCTATAACACGCGTGGTTAGGTTGGCATGTTAACATTCCAAAATCAGTACATTCCTGAAACACGATAAAAAACCTACTTGGAGTTTTTTTCTTTTTTAATATTTTTGGTATTTTTGGAAGCTTAGGTAATTTAAGTTTGCGTTCTGAGAACATTTTGGTATTACTTAAAACTGGTCTTTGGAGATAAGGCGATCTAATTTTGTGCAATGCAAAATTATCATCACGTGTCCAAAATCGCTGGCCGTGCATCGATGGCAATTAACAGCTACCTCCGAAAAGGAGAATTCATTGTGTTTGACTTAGATAAGCCTGAGGATGATTCTCTTGCAATCTGCCTAAGATTTGACACTCCCCTAAACCTGCAAAAAGAGATAATGGTGAGGCAGAAGTGCAAGGAAAAAATAGCACCTCAGCTAATGAGTAGAATTTAACTTTATGGATACTAACTTTTTTCGTAATTATAAAAAATTGGAATGGGAAAACCTTTGATTTATATTGATCCTCAAAAAGCGCGAGAGCTAGACCAAATTATAGCAAAACAAACATCTACGATTAATATCGATCTCCAAAAAGCTCATAATTTAGACCAGCATCTTGCCTTGCAAAAACTATATTATCATCCTGAAGGTCTGTATCAAAATGTTAAGGGATTGTAGGATGCTTGTAAAAAAACCGGCTACAGCTTTCCATTTATTGATGTAAAAAAATGGCTTGAGGGTCAAGCAATGTATCAAATTTTTCGTCCTTCA